ACTTGCATCAAAGAAAGAGGATGAAATTTTGAATCAGATTCTGGGTGATGAGGATATGCTTTCCGATCCACAGCTGACAAGCAGCGCGTCATGTTCGAATGTTAAGGAAACATCCACTAAGAATGGGGGAGATATAGGCAGAAGTACTTCTTTTGATCAGCCTGCTCAAGCCTTAACAGAAGTGGGATCTGCTACTCCGGAAGACTTGCGTCAACAAGCCCTGGTTGAAAAGAAGAAATACAGAACTTTGAAAGCGGAAGGAAAATCTGAAGAAGCTTTACGAGCCTTTAAATGGGGAAAGGAGCTTGAAAGACAGGCTGGAGCTTTGGAGGTATATCTGAGAAAAAGACGTAGAATGGTATCCTCTTCCAGTTCTACGAATGACATTCAGCAAATTAGAGATGATTCTATATCATCTGGTGAGAATAATAAGTTCCCCATTCAGAAGAGCAAAGAAAAGGATGATCTTGCTGCTGAACTCAAAGAACTGGGGTGGTCAGATTTCGACCTTCTTGATAGTGAAAAACGGCCAGCAGTGAAGAGTTTGGAGGGCGAGTTTTCTTCACTTCTTGAAGAAATCCCTCAAAAACCTAATAAAGAGAAGGGAGTTGTTGCCACTGATAAGTCCCAGGTCATCGCTCATAAGAAGAAGGCTCTCGAGCTGAAGCGTGAAGGGAAACTTGCTGAAGCCAAGGAAGAATTAAAGAGAGCGAAAATTCTTGAAAGGAAAATTGAGGAAGAGGAATTTTTGGGGGAGGCCGAGGATTCCGATGATGAACTTTCTGCTTTGATACGTAGTATGGATGATGACAAGCATGATGATTTGTCAGCACAATATAAACATGATATTAATTTTGATTTTGATAACTTAGTTGGCGTTGCTGATGATGTTGCTGTAGATGGCATATTTGAGGTGACAGATGAGGACATGGGTGATCCAGAGATTGCTTCTGCCTTGAAATCATTAGGCTGGACTGAGGACTCTACTTATACAGAAGACTCTGGTATTAAGGTTGGACCTCTTAACAGGAAATCATTATTAACTGAGGTCCAATCCCTGAAAAGAAAAGCTCTGAATCAGAAAAAGGCAGGCAATACTAGGGAGGCATTGGCACTGTTAAAGAAGGCAAAAGTACTTGAAGTGGAACTTCAGCGTTCTGATTCCCATGGAACTGAAGTTTCAGACTCCCAGTCTGCGGAAGAACCTTTCATTCCTATAAAGTTGGCTGCTGAAAATGTAAATGACAGGAAAGATACAGGCCGAAATTCGGCACCAAAGAGTAAATTGATGATCCAGAAAGAGCTGATCGCCCTGAAAAAGAAGGTTCTTTCTTTGAAAAGGGAAGGAAAATTAGATGAGGCAGAAGAAGAATTGAAGAATGCAAAGGTTCTTGAGGAGCAGCTTGAAGAGCTAAATAAAGCTCCCACGGTCAAGCACCCAAGCACTAACAGTAAGCAAACTTCCAATGCTACAACAATTGATCTCGAAAATGAAGCAGAAGTGACTGATGTCACAGATCATGACATGAATGATCCTTCTTATCTTTCACTTTTGAAGAACTTAGGGTGGGAAGAGGACAATAATGAAAATGTTCCATCCACTTCTTCCAAAGAAAATAAAAGTGCTTCTAAATATCCTGGCCACTCCTCTGTCGCACAGGCCACTGCCAACCTTGAGACTGGGACATCTAGAAAAAGTAAGAGTGACATTCAGAGAGAACTGTTAGGGTTAAAAAGAAAAGCTCTTACCCTGAGGCGCCAAGGAGAGGTTGAAGAGGCAGATGAAGTGCTGAAAATGGCCAGATTATTGGAGGTGCAGTTGCAAGAGTTTGAAGTACCAATACAAAAAGAAGTTTTGGATGAAAATAGCGAAGGAAATGCATCCATGGATGCCTCCCAAAATGCCATTTCTCTTCTTCAGGTGGACAGCTCCAGTAGCCTCACTGAAGATTTAGGGAGCAAAAATAAGATTACAGTGGAGAAACCAGAAGTAGTTAGTGAATCCGTGCTGCCACATATTCTTGAGCCAACCTTTACTCAGGCAACTATATCTCAACATGAGTCAAGTTCCTTTGAACAAGATATCCTGGCACATAAGAGGAAGGCTATAACCTTGA